AATTATAAATTTATAATAATAGTAATATAAATTAGATGTCTAAAAAATTTTCTAATATAAAACTATTAAAAAATGTAAACTAATATAAATTAAGTTTTAACTTTAAAAAATTTATGAAAAGCGTTAATATTAATTATAATAATAATAAAAAAGTTACCATATTGAAAATCGCAAAAACGATTATATAAAAGAAATTATTTATAAAAAAATAATTAGAACTGGAAAAGATTATAATTATATAAAAGTAAAACGATAATATTATTATTAAATATAAAACAAAGATTTAACCTTTTTAAAAAATATTTTAGAAAACTCTATGATTTATAATAATAATCTAAAATTAATTAAAAATATAAAAAATTAACTTATATAAAAATTACTAGAAGATAAAAACTTAATAATAATAGTTAAATATAATTAACAGTTTTTCTCATAAAAAACTAATAAAAATTTAAATTTTATGATTTAGTAAAAAGTAAAAACTTTAATAATAATATTAATATATAAATAGTTTATAATTATTTAAAATAATAATAATGAATACATATAAAAAGTTTGTAATAAAAGTTTTCATATAAAGGTTACAAACTTTATAATAATAATATAAATATGAAAATAATTATTTTAACTTTAATAAAAAATATATCAAAGTTTTATTATGATTGATAAAAATAATAAATTTATAATAAGTTTTTAAAAAAAAAGTTTTAATATTAAAAAAAAAAACATAAAAGTTAAAAACTTGATAATAAATAAAATTATTAATATACTAATTATTTAACATTAATAAAAAATATATTAACAGTTTTATAATACTTTATAATAAATATAATAAAAAGTTTTTCAAAAAAGTTTCATTAAGTTAAAAAACTTCATAATAATAATATTAATACAAAATAATAATTTTTAACTTTAATATAATATATAATAGTAATAATATATATATATATATATAAGTTTTTATAAAAAGTTTTAATAACAAAAAATATATAAAAGTTACAAACTACATAATAAAATTTTTTACTTTTATAAATAAAAATTTTAACAATTTTAAAATATAAATTTTTTGAGAAGTTTTTATATTAAAAAATATTTAGATAATAAAACTTTATAATAATAATTATACATAATAAAATGTTTAATAAAAAAGTTACAAAAAGTATAATTAATATAAGTGAAAACTTTATATTAACCTTGTTATTAATATAAACAAACATGTAAACTTTAATAAAAAATGTATTAAAGACTAATAATTAATAATATTAAAAATTTTATAAAAAAAATTAGTTTAAGTTTTTTAAAAATTATATAACAGTAAAAAAACTTTATAATAATAATTGTTAAAAAAAGGTTTAATAAAAAAGTTTTTTAATAGAAAATTATTTAAAGTTAAAAACGTTATAACTAAGAGCCAAAATATTTTAAAAATTTACCTAAGAGTACCGGAGTCCTTTTAATTTTGATATGTAACGGTTTTCTTCATCAAAAAGCTTTAAAAAAGAAACCAAGTTTTATATTTATTAAAATTTACCGTAAACTTTGTTATTGTGTCATTATTTACAGCGACATACTTGTACTATTAATAGCGATGTTTTGTACAGAAAGTGCAATATTTAAAATACTAATATCGTTTGCTTATAAATTATTTTAGCCTAGCTTTCAAATATATATATTATCGCTAAGTTCAAGGGTTTACTAAAATAAAGTTCAAAAATTTGTTAAAAAGTGTTAATTTTTGTAAGTGAGTGCAAGTGCAAATAGTTAAGTTTTTTGCTTATTATGTTGTACGTGTTACTTGTTTTTAAAGTCTAGCAGATCCAGTAGTTTTATAAGTTGCTGCTGCTTTAAATACGTTGTATTATAAACTCATGAAGGAACGTTACATTCTTATTATAGTTTAAGATCCATAACTTAGTATACAAAAAAATACGTTAAAGACAGTTACAGTTAAAGAGACGGATCGTTAAAAGTAACCGAGTTAACGAAGACACACCGATCGTCAAAATGCGGTATAAACTAAGGTGCGACACCTAACAACGTAAACGGCAAACCACTTGCTTGCCATAAAAAAAATCCTCAGAGTATCAATAATTTCAGTACTTAATTTACTTTCTACATTGTTTCTTGGAATTTAAAATTAAGCGGCCCCTCGTGTAAAACGTTATCAGATCTGTGTACTTAAAAACAAGGTAACTGCTAAGTATGTTCCTTCCGGTTTTCCTAGAGAAAAAGGGAAATCAGCAACACCACACCCATTTAATATTAGTAAATGTTTGGTAACTCCTTTAACAATATAACCGTTAGTTATTTCCAACTGCAAAAAACACCTTTTTTATAATTTCTGGCTTCCTCTGCAAAACGAACACCCTAAGAACCTTCAGCAACTTTACAACTGTAAACTCTAATTTTATCTCAATTATAATAACTACTTTTATAAAGCTTCTGTTTTACAGTACTTTTTTAACTTGAAAAAACACAAAAAAAGATTTAAAAAAAGCTTCACGCTATTGCGTATTAAATAAGCCTAAGGTGGTTATGTTTCGCCAAAAAAAAGGTGATAGAGTTGAAAAGAGTAATACTATTAAAGAGCCAGTATAGCTGCTGTATTACTTTAGAGCTTTCCCAATTTTTTATAATGCAGTACCCCAACACAGTATATAATCCAAAAAGAAAGCAAATTCTTCCTTTTTTTTTTAAGGTGTTTGTAGTTTGTAAAGACATTTATTAAACTAAAATAAGATGAATAGAGGGGGGGAATTTTGAATGTTTATTAAACTGAAACGGGGTTATGGTGCAGCATCCTTAATACAAAATTTTTAACTAACTTTACCTTAGATCGAAAGGCTAATATAGGTGGCTGGTTTTTTATAAAAACAAAAATTACACTTAGAAGACAGTATCTCAAAGTAACTTTAAAATAAAGGTGGGGTCCACTAACTGCACTGGATCTGCTAAAACTTTCAAAACGATATACACTGTAAGTTTTTCTCACTAACTTTCAAGTATATATTTATAAACGTGTATTTTTCCCATTACATAGCCAAGAAAGTTTCTTTTTCAATATAGGCCAGCCACCCTTAACTTACCTACCAGTAAAGCAGTAGAACCTATAGGCGTTACTAATTGCTTGGTTGTGCTACTATAATCCTCATCTCGTAATGAAAATCGATCCTCTTAAAAGGTTACGGTGATGCGAAATACAGATAAAGGACGGTTAACAAAGGTTCAATATAAGAACTTGAAAAAGAAGGCCGTGAACACAAAGAAGAACAGAGAATAAACGAATAAATCCTAAAATGCCGGAAAAGACACAATAATTAGAGTAACCAAGATGAAAGGGGGTCACAAGGCCTTTAACGTATTTGTTCCATGTATTAGCTATTATAATGGGATCAAGGAAACTTAATAAAAGCTTGCCTTAAGAATGATAGAAATTACTTTTGGCTATAAATCTCTTCTACAGCAGTACTTCGCAAAATTTAATAATTAGAACCCAATACGCCTGTAGCCGCTGTAAGGCCAAAATAAAAGGGCGCGCACCTTTAACACAAATACCTTATTATTGATGCCTGCAGTAAACAAAACTAAAAGACCCAGGCAAACATACATTTTAAACTAATAATATAGCTGTACGCCGCCAGTTAAGTAAGTAAGTAAACATGAGCTCCATCTTAACAACAAGCTGCATAATCCTAAGCTCTCAATAGTGGGGTGCAGGTGTTCCCAACGCTAAAAGCAACTCATGGGCACCAAATTTTTTCGTAGGTTTGCTAGTTTTTACCTCGTCAGCTCTTATTGCCCTTGGAATTATAGTTTTCCTTTCGATTGACTTTTGTGCACTATTTTTATTACTAAAGAAGTAGTTCTCTTTGTAAACAGAAAAGCAATTTGGTGAGGCAACTGGTTTCATGGTGTTAATTATCTTCATTCTTCTTTTTCTGGCCATTGCCTTGGCAGCAAGGCCCACTTTTGGAAAGTTTCAAAGCGCTTGGAGACTTAGGGTATTAAGAATTTTTCTATTATAATTTCTACTTTATATTTTTTTAAGGCATATTAATGTATACTAACCTTTTAGACATATTTTTAAAGTGTAATAGCACGTATTGGTTTTGGGTACTTTTATAAAACTGCTGTTACATTGTTCTTCCTCAATCATACTTGTTTAGAGCAAGTCTTATTTTTTTATAATTTTATGGTAGAGCGCGAAAAAAACAACCGAATGTCTTAACAAAGTGAGTACCACCAAACCATTAACTAGACGGAAACTTTTAAGGATTGATTAGACTATTATGATCAGTCCATACCTTCATCTTCCTCCTTTTAACCTAAGTATTATAGTTTTTAGTTTTTCAGTAAATAATATCTCAATTTTTATTTACAAAATACTGCAACTTTTTTGTATAATAATTTTTTTAGACTTTCTATTATTATTGGCGCTCAACTAACATTTAAATAAGAAACTGAGTTTTCATAGTAAGTAGCTATTATGTAGGTAGATAAATATCCTTTGTCAGGGCGTTAAACATGTTCCGTTTAGGGTTAGGTTTAAAGATTTGGTCATATGCCTATTTAGGGCCACTTGTTTTAATGGGATTTCATTCCTAGCCGAAGAGTATAATTTTTTGATCAAACAAAATTTATCACTCACGCCTGTTCAAAAAACTACACAGGGTATATTTATGATTAATATGTTGAGTACAACTTTTAATAAGCCGTCATTCTAGTGCATATTCTTAAAAGGTAATGTTTGCTTAGATTAACTAAGTCTATGCTAAGAATTTTTTCACTGTTTTTTTTGACTTAATGACTAAGTTAGGAGGTAAAACTATTTCTATAGCAAATAGCAGCAGATAAGCTTAAAAAGTCAAGAGAAAGGCTCAACTTTAAGTCGTTATGTAACGTTACTTAATAGAATTTTTATTTTAAGAAGAGTTTAAAAAATTATTAAGCATAAAGACAAAGTACAACACAAGATTTATTTAGTACATATTTTAATTTTCGTATATAAGAATTTATCCTTTCTGTTTCCTACTTTTCATTTCATATTCATGAAAGTCGGTCTTTACATTTAAACTAAAAAAAAACATCGCCCGATAAAAAAAGTAATTCAAAAGTTAAATGAAAATCTCAAGCACCAAAATTTTAAGTCGTTTGCGTCAAAAAAGGGGTGCTTGAGAGCATCTCCGCAAAGCGGCCGCTCGCAGGGGTTAAGCACCAGCAACCGGTCCAGCAGATCGACTGCTTGCGCATCGTGTCTTGAGATTAAAATCTTTTCAAAAAATACAAGCGCACAGAATTAAGAAAGCAACACACGCGGCAAAAGCTTCCTTGAGGCGCCTCTTATACTTGACTTTAGGGCAGAGGCGGTCGAACCCGGGAAGCTGCTGGACGCCGGGCCATACACTTTCCCGCGGAGTACCGCAAAGCCGGCTGATTAACTCCAGTTGAGACGACTCCTCGCGCCCGTGAAATAAAGGCCGCTTCGACAGCATCTCCCCGAGGATGCACCTGCCACGCGGCTACAAAAGAAAAAAACAGAGCAGAGGCAGAGAGAAGGGTCTACCCGCAGCTCCAAACGTCGATTCCAGGCCCGTAGACGTCGCTGGAAAGCAGTAATTCTGGCGGGCGGTACCAAAGTGTGATTACTGGTGTGATCAACACATTGTTCATATATAATTTAAATCATAATAATGTAATCTTTAACCCTTATTGGTGTAGCTTCTGTTTTCGTTCCACGATCTCGCAAGTCCGAAGTCGGCAACTTTTAGTATCCCGTTATTTCCAAGCAATATGTTGGATCCTTGCGAGATGCTTTTGTATCACGGATGCCTTACTTTTTTTCACGACTACAAACCTTTTATATCTCTGTGCAAAATATTGTGATCGTGACAGTATTTAACTCCTGATAATAATTGACGGGTGTAAGATCGCACCAAGTTTATATCAAACTCTATTTCTCCGCTCTCCTGTAAAAGATAGTAAGAGTTAAGTAAAAATTTCAGAGTAACTACAATTCGTAAACTACGAGGATGCCGGATAAATCGTGCTCAAGATATTCGAAAACAAGATAAAATTCCAAATTGCCGTATTTATTCCAGTTTTCCGTTATACTCTCAGTAGTATCTACGAAGAGCAGTAGTTTGCTAGGCGTTAAAGACAGCGTATAACAAAAACTTTATAAGTAAAAAAAGCTTTTTTTTAATTACCCCATTACATCCACTAACTTACAGTAACGCGAAATTCACGTTTTTAATATTAGTATAAAAGAAATTTAAATATTATAGAAAAAATATATAATAGTTTTCTTCTAAAACAACACGGCATGCTTAAAAACCTGCACTGCAGATGACATCTTTCAAACATACAATGTTTGGATGTTTCAAGTTTCGCAAAATTTTAACTTCCCGGATTGCAGTAATAGGAAACTATTTTCCAATATAAGAAAGTAATCGAAAAATATATGGATTATAAAATTCCTACCCCCTGCTGGCTAGATTCCAATCGAATTTTCTTCAAAGCCACAATCTGTGCGGATTTTTTCTCTTTAGCTTTGTAAACGTGTCTATATGTATAATTAAAAATATAATAAATCTTTCTAGGCTTTTTTTTTATTTTAGATCTTTCTAAAAAGGACAATGAAATAAAAGTTTGGGCCAGCATGGACTTATTAAAGGTTATATATCTTAATAACACTCTAAATTTAAATTATATACTGCCCATCTTGGTAATGCTTAATTTAACAACGTACGCACCCGTACATTCCCTCTCCAATTTTCGCGATAATATCATACATACTTATAGTATTTGTTCCCCAGCGATCTTTTGGCCTTTTTAAAGTATTAAATCGTAGAATTTGTTTTCTTTGAAGACCAACGCTGGTAAATCTACCATTAACGAAGGTAGATAATACTACTATTATAAGGTATATGCAAAAGTCTTTTAATTTTAGGTACTTCAAATTTAGACGATAATTAGACTTTAACGGCAACGGAAGGTTTTCAGTTTGACTTTCCAAAAGATCCGGTGATGGTGGAATTGGAGAGTTCTTGACGCTATTAACCTTCAAAGTTAAAGCAAGCGGGGATGACGATGGCGGTACTTTAAAAAAAATTTCTGCACTGTACAGATCAACATGCTCAGGCGGCGGAGGAGGCGGGTCAGGTGAAGCGGGTTCAGGTGGGGGAGGAGACGGAGTTTTAGGCGGCTCTCCCGGAGGTGGCGGCGGACAGAATGGCGGATCGGGTAGAAAAGGAGGTAAGGGAGGCTGAGGCGGCTGAGGTGGCGTCACTAAGTTCGCCAGCTGCTGCTCTGTTGACTGAGGAACGCTCGAAGGGGCGACTGTTAGTGTCGGCTGGATTGTTTTTAATGCTGGTAATCGAATGGGAAAGAGGGGGGGTAGACGAGGTGGTTGGAATAAAGGAGGAAGCTGCTGAAAAGCACGCTGCCCCAAAGCGGTGGGCGCAGGAATTACTGGTTTTGAGGAAGTTGGCCGAGTAAGAATATTGGATTGAGTCTGCAGGAAATTTAAGTACGACTGTCTTTGCGCGTCAACAAGTGAAATCCCTGGAGAAGGTAAAGAAGGAAAAGCTACGATAGGAGGGGGTACGGGAAGCGAAGTTGCTCTCGAGGTTATATTCGTAATTTGAGAAATGCCTCCTCCTAATTTTATACCAGAAAAACTATTAAAGTTTATTTCTTTTGAGCCGCTTTGGTTATAAATTGGTGTAAACTTAGTGTTTAAGGTATTAACGGTTGAAGTAAGTAGAGGGGGAGGTCGAACAAGTTGTATAGAGGGAAGTATAGTTGAGTTTTGGGTTTCTGTAGTGGCTTCAAAAGATACAAAAGTATTTCGAAAATTTGTATTGTTGTGCATTACTCAATATTATACTAATAAAAATAATATATAAATGTTGATAGAAAATAAAATAACTCTTCAAAATTTATAGAGTAAAACTTACTTTACAGGTAAAAGATAATAATATGCGCAAGTCAGGCCAGTTCCGTCGCATCAAAGACCTAAAAAACTTAATTAAACAATAATTTAGTAACAAAATATTATAAGGAGCACAATAAGCCATTAACTATAAGACTATAGTAAACGGCGTTTTTTTTAATTACCTTCAAAAATTTTCAAGTCGTTTTCCTATTTTTTTATATATCAATCACTTACTATTAAATAAAAAAAAATATACAACTACAACATATAAAAACACCACCGCACTTTTCCTAACTTCTGCTTAATTGCCTTCGTTGCTGCGTGAACGCCTTGAGGGCTCTCAGGCCTTGGTAGGCTAGCAGCTGTGTTCCTCTCCTTTTATTGGCGTGGTTGGCTCCTCACGGGCCCGTTTGCGCCGTCGGAAAATATTAAAGGGCGACATGGACGGCTCTGAAAAAGCTCTCTGTCTTGCGCTGAAAAACCTCGAGAACAGTTTTTACGGCAAATATTTATACAAGCTGACCTCTAAAACTAATGATATAAAGGTAAATGGAGCTTTTACATTATAAATAAATTATGAGCAAATTTGGTCAGAAACTGTTTTTATGAAGCCTTTGTTCATGATAATATATTACAGAGGGACATTCGATCTTTTATGTTAATTAATCGCTCTTTTTCCTTTTTTATTATTTTCATGGACTGACCAATTATTTGAATATAAAGTTCAAAATACTCGTAAATTAACGGTTTCACAATATTCATAAGTAAATTTAGTTTTAATATTAATTGTTTTTATTTCTTCTATATCTTTATAACATAAGAGTGTATACTTCTAGAGTAAAAAGATTTTGATTATAAAATTTTAAGTCTACATAAAAATGAGGGACGCATAACTGTGCTTACTAAAAACTTTAAGATACTACATAAAACTTCTGATTGGAAAAACTTAAGCCGTATAAAAACTTTAAGATACTACATAAAACTTCTGATTGGAAAAACTTAAGCCGTATAAAAACTTTAAGATACTACATAAAACTTCTGATTGGGAAAACCTTAAGCCGTATCATCTAAATCCTTTTCACCTCTACTAGCCCAGTAAAATTGTATTTTTTTTTTTCGGACTATTTAGTCTCTAGCACGACGAAAATAGCTTTTTAAGCTTATGTTGAATTAGTAAAATATTACAAATACAAATCTTTCCAATTTTAAAAACTTGTATACCAACTTGAAGAAATTCTTTGGGATATTTGTCAATCACTCAGTTGCTTAATCGGCGCACACCGAATTTCTCGTGGTTTACTACTATGAGAATCGAAACTATAGACGCTGTTCAGAAACTCTTAATACAAACTAATTATTTATAAAAAAGGATAATATAGTAAAGGCAGAAACTGTTTTTACACCATTTGAGACAAGTTAGCCATAGCCTATTAGGATAAAAAATTTTAACCTAAATATTTTCTGCATAATCAGTATAGCAAATACTATATGCACTGTTATTTCTGCCTTTCAAATTAAAGGCTAACAATTTTAAAACTGCAAGCTGTCTCAATATTTCAGCCTTCCCTACCGAACTGCCCTATTTTATATGTAATCTTCAGCTAACATCCAAAATAACTTAAAAACCTGACAGCAATAAATACTGTCAATCTGAACTAGGTCGTAAAAAAGATAAATTTTTGAAAAATTTACTTGGTAAGGCTGTATACTCGTTATTAAATTCTAACTTCTGAATGATTTAAGAGATATATTTAATATATGGTTTGCAAAAAACTAACTTTTCACTTCACCACCGGTTCACCATACCCCGACAAGTAAAACAGCACAAGCCATTTCCCTTCACAGTTCTGCAAGATTGATTCTGGATGCCTACAGGTTTTTGGGGCTTTAAATTACGGTCTTTCTGTGCTGAGTTTTTTAATAAGTTGCCGACCTGTACAGCCGTACCGGTTAGCTTTTCTACCTTGGTAAAAATTTAACGCTTATAATGGATTATTTATAAGGTAACTAGTCCTAATAGTATTAAGAAACAACATTATTTAATAAGGGTCAGGTTACTTGCTCGTCCTTTCTAACTATTCTAGGGTCCAAATTAGACTACGCATTTTAGCCCCGCTGATACAGAAGCTAACGTCCATAATATAAATCCTCAACCTTTAGAATGCCATCCTAATTATCATAATAATATTCTGGTTTAATATCACAGGTAGGTTCAGGACACTCCTTTTAATAGAATTCATTAATTAAATAGTGCGGTAAAAGACAAAATCTTTCCGGGTTGATACTTCCCTTAGGCTCTGTTTTATCGGTGCAACGTGGTATGGGCTACCCTCATTTCGGAACTTCTTATCTTTGTAAAATTAAGTTTTTATTGGGTCTTATCTACTGTGTTGTGACCCACTTCATATATTTTTTAAGTTTAGCCCTGCAAACTTTTTTATGAGTTTAACATGCTTCTTTAGTATCCTACTTTAAGGTACTATAACAAGTACTCTATTCTTAAAAACCATTTATTTCTCAAAGGTTCTACCCGTACCACACACACTGAGGCCCAGGTCATAACACGGTGTCACAAATAATTTATCGATTCTTAATTACGATAAAACAATAAAGAAATGCGATGACTTACTTTAGTTTCAATACACAATGTTAACCCGCGTTAAGTGAATATAATTTATTTTTCTGGCTATTTAGGGCTAGAATACATTGTTTTTGATAGTCGTTAAGAGCCTATATAAAAAGTGCTTATGGCAAACATACACCATATATGGTATCTGTTAATGTCATTTTGGACTTTTTTTATGATTGATAGTTACGTGGAAATTGTCAATATTTTTTTATTAGGAGTAATACGATTGGCCAACGAAAAATCCATGAACGCTCACCCACATAGATATAATTACCTATAAGGTCAGCTGTTACGAAGCCCACATCCTTATTTAAATGGTGTTTACATATTCAAAGGTGAAACATCCACAGAGACAGCGCTTGTATGGTATAAATCTAACTCTTCTTTAAAATCTTCAAGCTATTTTTAAAGTAGTAAAAAAAATCGCTTTATTGCCATTAATTAATTAGTTCCCCACTGAAACCGTATATTAAACAACACATTAGTTTTTTCAGATCTCTCAAGTCGTCGGAGATAATTAAGACTCTAGCTCAGTTTATCCCACTTGCGTTTGCCAATTCGGGTTTTGGATGCCTCCACTTGTTCATGAGTTCATCTCTAGGTAAATAAGAATATAATTATTCTTCCTGACCTACATTCTGCTCCTTAACTCGACCTTGGGAACATTTGTGATTAAAGCGATCCTTTCATTTTATATTAAGGATAGTCTGTTCACGTTTGCATTCCTCGCGGGTTATCTAAACCCTGGAGATACGATACGCTAACATTTTAATAAAGTATTCTATTAAATCTTAATATTTTAAATTAATTAATTGCATTCCAAAGTTCTTATTAATAAATCATTTTCTTTCCACATTGCCGATATCTTTTAAATAAAGCTCGCCTCTTTTCTTCGTATAATTTAACTCAGTCTCAATTGTTAGCTGGCGTTGCAGTTTTCACAGTAACGTAGCACTTTACCTTCTTTAGCCTATTTTATTATGCACTTTCCATTAATTATAAGTTTATATGGTTTCATCTTGCCAATCCCCTATTAATACGGGGCGTAATTATGAAACTCGAAACCTTCCATTCCCCACAGTACATTAAATTCGATAGAAAGATAATACTTCACATCGCATGAACATTCTTTTTTCTTAGTACCTGCCCTTTTATCTTCAACTTTTCTAGAAGCTTACTTTGTTTTAAAATTGAGAAATCGCTTTAAACTGTATGTTAATTATTAAATTTAAATATATAGAATACACTAAAATTATGCAAAGCTTAAAATATAGGATTTTGAATACTTCCTTAAATAGAATATCTTTCCAAAAATTTAAAACCTACGCATTTGTAACTTATTTATTCAATATAGTGTTGCATTTTATTTATTAAATGTAGCATTAGCTTTATATTTTTTGTTTACCTATTAATATTAGCATAACAACTCAAATAGCTTGTTATTCGAGGTATATGTGGCAATTAAGTTTTTAACAACCTCAATTAATTGAGAAAATTTGCATTGAGAAGGACGGTAAGGGTGTCTTTCTATTAATTCGCTCAAGGTCACGCTTATATGTTTGTGTATCGGAATTTTTAGTATGGTAATGATGCTTATAATTAGCTGTCGGTACAAATTTTTGTCAAACTGAAAAGATCCTTGACGTATGAGTTGAAACCTTATTATTTTTCCTACTATTTCTGCATATGAAAGCCGATCTGTTTTTAATACGTATTTATCTCTGCATTCTAACTTGATATCATTTGGTTCTGATTTTGATATCATGGAGCGTTTTAAGGAAGCTTCTTTCTTAAAGAGGACTTCTTTCGCTTCATTAATTTTTTTAATAAGGTATTGGCCATAAGTTAACTTTTCTTCTAGACGTTTTCGTGTTTCTTCATAAGCCCCCTTTACATCGTCATAGGTTTTCAACGAGTCATTTAATCTTCTTTTTAACAAAGCAGTTTTTTTTTGGAGTGCTAGACTGAAAGAGGCCATTTTTTCTTGTTCCCTTTTTAAGTTTTCTATTTTTGCCTCTTCTTCCTTGACTAGCTGATAAATTTTTATTTGGTCTCTTTCTAGCTGCTCAGCATGTACTTTAAGATTTGCAATATCATCCTTAAAGGAGTTATGCTTTTTATATATCTTAATGGCAAAAATTGAAGAGCCAATTATTAATAAAACTAAGACACTTAGTATAATCAACTTAGTTATTGGGCCTACCTTTTTACTCAGTCCTTTAGTTTTTTCTTTTTCTTTACATAACATTTTTTAAGCTTAACAATAAACTGCATAGTGTAATTAAAACGGTACAGGCATCTATTTTTGCCTGACTAATATTTATAGTAATTATAGTTAATTATTTAATCAAAACTTTATAAAACTAACTATAAGGCATAACAGCTCGAATGAAAGCTGTTGCTATACAAATAAACCAATAAAATTTTAATGTTTAAAACCTTAACTATTAAAATTAAAAATTTTCTTTTTTAGAAGAGTGTGCTCATATATCCGTTTAACATTTTACTGAGATTCAAGGCCTTCTGTTTTCATTTTTTAAAAATAGCAGGCAAGCTTAAAATGCATATATATTTTTATTATATAAATACTTCATTT